CAAATATCTATTATGAAAATAGTATAGTATAATCATTATTATAAACAATGTGAGCCTACATATGATTATGGGGCCATAAACAGCGGCCGCATTTTCTCTCGAGCTTCAAGGGTTTTCGCATTGTTGCTGTTCCGCTATATCATTCGTTTTTATGTGCTGAAATGTTTCACTTTTCTATAATTGCCTGGGCTTGCCGCAATAACGCTAAATGTGAATGTGCATTAAAAAATGCAAATGACACAGAGAGAAAGAGATGGGGGAGGAGTGGAACGTGAGGCGGAATGGCATAATTAAGTGAGTATACAAGCGATAACAATCAAATGAAATAGGTGTAAATTTAATTTGTCTAATGTCTCAATTTGAATATATATGCATGTATATGTGAGTGGAGAGTGTGGGAAATGCAAAGGTATGTTAATAATAATGGATAAATCGCACCCATGTCCCTGCCAGAAAAATCCACCCCAAGCGCCGAGTGGGAGTCGAGCCGAGTCGAGTCGAAATACGCATTAGAATTCGAAAATTGAAACACGTCCTGCTCACCTTTTGGTTGGGGGTGGCGCTCTCTGGGATGCTGCACAAGTTCGAAATTTTAAAATTCCAAACACTTCGGGTGTCATTTACAGGGCAACAACCAATTGGCAACTGGATCTTGGGCTAACTGAATTTGGGCCATGTCAAAGTCAGGCGCCATTCGACGCATTTCTAAATGTTTCCAACCAGCAACCAGCTGCCCCTTCGACCCGGCCATGTGGCTATGTGGCATATCAGAACGTCAATTGGATATTTAAATACAGGCGACACTTTTAATGGCAAAGTGTCAAGTGAAGGGGGGGTGAAGACGGGCACGGCAGCGGCTGTAAGGGCGGTACGATGATTTCTGCTTATTCCAAACACGTATCGGACGCGTCTCGTGCCTGTTGATAAATTGAATATTGAAAAGAAATAATTCAATTTTGACACTTGCCTTGGCCATGACACAAAGAGAGAGAGAGAGAGAGAGACAAAGTAGAGAAAATAGAGATGGAAAGATTGCGAGTTTTTAAGGAATTCAATATATTTTGAACTTAAGACTGAAGCAGCATATCTTAGCGGAATTATCTCATTTGATTTGACATTTGCCTTGGCCATGCAACAGAGAGGGAGCCAGAGAGAAAGGGAGAGAGAGAGAGAGAGAGAGAGGGAACCGAGAACAGACTTCATTTGTCTTATTTTATTAGTGAACTTAATGTACAAAATATAATAATAATAATAAAATAAAGAAATAATAATAATAAGTATGTTTTTATATTATTTTTTCAGTTTTTATAGAAATCTACAATATAAAATAATATAATTTTCTCTCTAAACACAATCGAATTTTTTTGTAAATATCGTTGGCGAATTATATATATAATACGACGTATTAGAGGCTCTCGCGTCAGCAGTTTATGATGTGGCATAAAAACGTCTCATTTGGGACTCATTTAATCCGCCAAATTGTTTACACGCGCCACATTTCACCTGGCCCATCTTACAAATCCCGCACCATAGCCACATGCAAAGCCCAACCCTAACCCAATCGCAGTCGAAACAACCCGCAGTTGGTGAAACAATCGCGAGTTTTGGAATTCATTCGAAAATCGTTTAACGGTCGTTGGCTGTTTTTCAGCGACACCTGCGCATTCCCAATGCCACCAAAAAAGATGGCCAGCCACCCACCGGCAGCCGCCCACCCACGCATGACTTGCAGCTCGACGTGGTTTTATTTAAAATCGAAAATGCGGAAATACAAAACGCGAAATGAAATGCAAAACGGAAAACGTTTCTTGATTGTGGCCGTGGCACATGTAGCTCGTCTGCCCGGACCTCCGACTGGGATGTGGGATGGAAGTGGATGCACTTGCCGCCAGCCGCAAGGTGTATGCAGCTGTATTTGCGTGCGTGTGTGTGTGTGCGTGTGTGTGTCGCGTCGCAAACAAATAAACAAAGGGTTCAACAAAAGCAAGCGGCCCAAAGTAATTCAAAACAAGCAAGTTATTGAAATGTTTGAGCGTGCACTGGCAAAGGAACTCGGATTAACCACATCCATTTATCCAACCACTCAACCACCCAGCCCATCCATCCGTTTAGCCAGCCATCTATGCAGCCCTTGTTATCCTTTCCAGCAGCACAAGTAGCCTCATTGTTTGTTTATTCACTCCTAAACGCGGAATAATCCGCGTATTAAAGAGCATTTAAGAGACTAGATAGATACTTGGCTAGCAGAGAGCGGGCAAAAGTACAGCTGAATATTTCATTTAGTCTCAATGAGAGAAAGTGAAGGAATAACAGTGTGAAAAGGGCATGAAAAGTGAATAAATTTAAATAATAATAAATCATTTCTATAATAGTGAGATTAAAAGGAAATGTATAATATATCATATATATTTTATTTTACATGCAAATATATTATACTATAATTATAAAAATACAAAAAAAAAAATATATATATAATAATAATAATAATAATATTGATAATATTTTACCTGATACTTTTTTCTATTTAAATCTTATATTTTTTGTTATCTTTCAATAATCAAATAATTTTAACCTTAACATTCGACAAACTATGTTAAGCATTTGCAGAGATCTGTAGTAGACTTTCGGGCTGAAAGATTAAAGAGAACTAACTGGAAATCCAAGAGACCGAAATGTAAGACTAAAGACTGAAAATGTTATGAAACATAACGAATACATATCAGAAGCTCAGTATACACTTATGTTATTTTATATAATAATAATAAATTTATTTTCAAAATATTATAATTATAGATAATATAATATATAAAATAAAATAAATATATAGTATTTTTCTGATAACAAATATAGATCATTCGAAATAAATATAGAATATAAATAAATTGCAATTATGAATCAAAACAGTAAAGAAATGCCCGCTGCTGCCCGAAGCTGATCTCTCTAGTCTAATCTTAAGAGATCCCATTGGAGTGCTCGGAATACCCATTTCCAGTGATAATCGCGCCTATAAAAACAAATTAAACTTCCATTTTGTTGTCTCGTTCCGGGACTTTGCCAGGACAAGCCAGACAACTCCTTGAGTCCCATTTGCCTGACTTGAGCCACTGCGTGTCTGTGTGGCTCTGCTGTGGCGTGTGGGTTGAGTGGAGCGAACTTCCGCTTCGGTTAAATGAAGTTAGCTTGTTGCGACTTATGCAAAAGTTTTCAATTGCCTTTTATTATTGTTGTTTTCCTTTTATTTTTATTGCTGCTGCTGCTGCTGCTGCTGCGGCTGTTACTCGACTCGCGCTGAAGTGAAATGCAAATTTATTCAAAATGTGAAGCAGCGAAAAGTTCGCACCGCTGTCAGAAAGTTGTCTGGATTAAGGTCTATGGCCATAATTAAATACACACTTTTTTCCCATTTATATTTGCATTCCGCTGAATAATTGCCTTTAATTTCGCTGCTAATTCACCTTGTCTTTAAAACACAATCAAAAGTTTAAAATTAAAGAGAAGCGCGGCCAGAAATGAACTGATAGACAGGGAGATACATAAATAGATCAAATAAAATTTATATAATTATAAAAGAATGAGGTTTCTCAATATAGAAATTTGTGAATAAATAAATAATAATTAAAGTAAAACAAACTCAACTCAAAACTAATTATTATAAAAATGAAATAAACTCTGCTATGATGAAAAAAATATTTTTTAGCATATTTTGAATTTGAAATGTCAACGTTTGTTGCTTTGCAGTTGTAAATTTTGTTTCTCTTTAAGCGAAATTTTCTGTTGAACTTAAATTCCAAGTAAGAAGTAAGAAACAACATGGGGGATGTGCGTCCGTTGCAATACGATATCAAGTGGGACACGTGGAACGACATGCCCATCACAGACATTCACTTCAAGCAAGTAGAGTCTAGCTGACCAGCTAAATACACACTAACCAACAGGGCTACGAACAGGAATTATGAGCTCGCCATCGAGTTTATGTGGGAGAATTCGTTTCTGCAGAGCATCGTATTCGAGGGTCTGGGTCTGCACGACCTGACGGAGATGAAGCCCATCTATCACGACTATTGTATGCATATCTTGCGTAATGAATGCTCGGTTATGATGCTCGACGAAACGGAAACGAAGATTCTGGCAGTGGCTCTGCTCGAATGGATGACCGACGCATGGCATTCCTGGTACAGCGAGAGAGAGAGAGAGAGTGTGTGTGATTTATGTATAGCTAGCTAATTGATCATTTTACAGGGTATTTCTGCCCGCCTTTGTGGGCAAAGGACTCTTTCAGCGTCTTATCGAATTAAAGGGAGACCTAATGGCCGCCACCAAGAGGAGCCTACAGATGGAGACCTTTGATAGCCTGATGGTGCATGAGATTGGCTTCCCAGCCGACTTGTATGAGGATCAAGATTTCCAGATGTGCATCTACGATGTGTTTGGCATGGTCGCTCAGCACATGCACATGCCGCGTGTCTGCTTCATAGCGCTCACCACCAAGGATCAGTATACCGCCGAGCTGGCTGACTATATGGAAATCGGCAGATCCATCTATTCCATTTATAAGGTCGACAATAATCGGCCATTCGACTGTCTGCGCGACCTCGACGAGATGTATGCTCTGCTCTATATGTTGCCTCTGACTCCGATTCGCAATTACCTGGAGTGGCCTGGCTTCGAGGCCTTCCACGAGGCGCTTCTGGCTCAAGAGCGAAGGGAAAGAGAGGAAGAGCTAATGAAGCAAAATGAGGCGTGACACTATTACCTACCTCGAGATGATTACTGGTCATTTTTTATATAAGAATTTTGGACATACTTCCATATTTATAATAGATAAAGTATTAATATTATTTCTGGTTTCATTTATTTATTTATTTTCTTATAACTTCAAGCTAACATATATTACATTCTCATTTATTCTTTTCTCTTTTTCCCTTCCTTATTCTTTCACTTAATTTATCTGCTTTCCTCTACATTATTTCCCTTGTCTCTATTTCTTACCTTCTGTTTTCTTTCTGTTGTCCAATCTCTTCTATTCAATTTCTTTCCTTCTCTTCAGCTTTCCTGCTCTCTATTTTTCATATATTCTTTTCACTCTATCTCTCGTTTTATGATCTTTTCATTCCTTCAATGTCTTCTCTTCAATTTTTTTTCTCATTTAATCAAAGCATTTTGATCAACATTACAATCTATAAACGAATTCCTCTCAAAACTCTGTATATCTCTGCATCGCAATCGAATCACTATATCAGAAAAAGAATTTCATTATTTATAAAAACTAACGGATTCGATTGCTATTTTAGTTCGTATCAAAGATTCACAGTAAACAGAAAGCATCGGCGATCGCACCGGTGATAATAGGCTTGATAAGCACGAGTTTATTGTGTATTTATGAAAATGTTTATATTGTGTAAGAGTCTATAAGAGTCTCATGCCCAAGTTGTTTTTATTATGGCAACAACTACTTGATTTCTGCTTTTCTTTACAGCTTTCTGCGATCTTTACAGCTTCGCTTTGACTTTGGCAGCTAGCAAGAGGTTAAGGACATCGTCGGCACAGCCCCAGCAGAGGGTGACTCCACTGCCGCCGTGTCCGTAGTTGTGTATGAGCAGCTTGTTGCCACGACGTTCCGCCTCCAGGCGCAGCTGGACGCGACCCGGTCGCAGGCCAACCCAATCGAACAAGTGCTCCGAGTGCTTGAGGCCTGGCAGCAGGCTGCGACAGCCGTCGATAATGAAACGCTTATCCTTCGCACAGACATTGGTATTGTAGTCCCGCTCCTGGTGAGTGCCACCAAGCACCACAGACTCGGTGCTGCTCGAAATGCGATATCAACTGAATGCTATATATATCGTTAGGGCATCTAACTTACTTTGGTATGATGTAGTTGCCATCATCGCTTTCATCAAGGATCGCGGTGAACACCCAATTGGCCCTCACGCGGCTAACTTGGCCACGTACCGAATAGACGTCATCGTCGTTCAGCAGCTGCCTGGAGCCAAGGCCGGTGCAGTTGACGATCACATCGTAGGAGGATTCTCTGACAAAACTCTCGAGATCTGTGATTTTTCGCTGCTCAACTTGACCGCCTCGGCGCACAAAGCGTTTCATCAGGTAAGGCAGCAGCTTGATGGGCTCTGACGTGTAAGTCACAAAGGACATGCCGCAACTGCACTTCGAACGTTAGACTTGCGAAATGGTCGATATGAGTGGGCTAACACTTACGTGAATTTGACATCTCTGCCCTTGTTGTAGACTTCCAGTTGTTCAGCTGTTAGTTCCACAGCTCCATAGACAATATCACGCCAGAAATCGCCAACGATCACACTCGGATCTGAGCTGAGGCGCACGCAGGGCACCAGACAAACACCTGCCTCGCCCGCATCCTCGCTTAGCCAAATCTGCTCCAGGAATAGATGCATATCCCTTGACCATTTGCTATTGAAGAAACTCTTTGAATGGATGTACCCACGTAATATATATGTGCATTTTGTAACACCTACTGAACTTTAGACTCATCTGTGCCGCCCAACAGAAAGGGACCCCACAGACCCGCCGAGCCGTCGCCCGTCGTATGGGGCGTGAATTGCTCCGACAATATGGTCACCTGCACATTTAGCTTCTTCTCATCCTGATAGTGCTCCAATATTTTGATGGCACTCGCAACACCGTTCACACCCGCCCCGATAACAGCTACTCTCAGCATGATTCCGTCTACGCAGACTACCCAAGCAATACTAAACTTCTGCGGCTCAGTGAAGTGCCTCTTATCAGCGAAATATTTCCACTCAAAATAATCAATTGTAATGAGCTCTACTCTACGGCTCATGAAACCGCCTCTTCCGCCCTGACTTTACAACGCGGCAGTTATATTTGAAACAAAATTTAATGTAAATGTTATTTTTAAGCCCTGAAACCATTTAAATATATGCAATAGGCAGAAGCAGGCGTGGCAGTCCCTAAGGAGTATATATGCATATTCACGATCGACTTAGCTCTGGTTTTCCCTCTCTCCGTCCGTCTGTCCAACAGGGCTATATCAATTAAAGGATCTGCGACGCCTACTTCCGCCTGATACTAATTTGTTTAGGGTCTAACAAAATATTAGCAATGTATGAATAGAATGAATGGACTAGTTGAAGAACCAAAAGGTAATTCATTTGTTTTATACTCATTCACAAAATGGAAATACAATTAGCAGGCAATGAAAGTTCGTAAAGTAGGCCTTGAATTCCAAACGTTTTCAATGAGTCTGGGAAATGTAGTTCCATTCAGTTAGTTTTCTCCGAGCCTTTCGAGCCTTTGCATCAACTCGCTTCTAAATTAAAACAAAATTTATATTTTCCTTTAAATTTTTATCGCAATTCAAGTCAATTTCAAAATGTGCGGAGGCGGTTGCGGTAGTGGCCCATGCGGAGGCTGTGGCCCATGCGGTGGTTGCGGACCCTGTGAGTTTTTTTTTTTTTTTTCGTCGCTTCAACAGGGCTGAAGAGCATTTGGGCATAGATCGTAATGAAAACTTTCTTTTTAAGGCTGCGGCTGCCCCACGCGCTACTTGAAGAGATCAGAGGAGCATATGCCCTGTGTGTGGTGTGCACCATGCAAAGCTCATTGCTACAACACCCCACCCAAGTGCTGCTGCTAGGGGCCTTAAGCTTTGCATTCGTACGGAGTCTCCTTTAAGGAAAATCTAAGAGCTAAACACCTACTCCACTACTTATCCTATTCTTACTGTCGAAAAATAAGAGGAATTATCGTAAGTGGCAAAAGTATCTTATCTGTTCTGATCCTGTCTCATCTGACCTGTTCTGTCTATTCAAGCCCAGCTGAAGTCAGCTTCGATTAATAGTATTTGTAAACGTGTGAAGCACGTCAATTTGGAAGCAAGTTGGACCTGAAAGGATGGCTGGAGGCTTTTGAGCTTGAACGTGAACTATTGGGACGGTTCGAATATCAGGCAATACCACAAGTCAAACCTTTATCAACCGAGACACTTGACTCGAATTCAACCTGAATGCAACCTGATCGAAAGCAGAATGTCAAGCTCATTTTAAATTGTTAAATTCAAAATCTTCATTTTCATAAACATTTTGGAACTTTTATGAATAAAAATTCGGAATCTACAAAATGTTTGTTTACTCTTCTTTTCCTTATCGATCGGGCGATATGTTTTACGCTTGCAGTTAAGTAAAAGACCTCAAAATCATTTTCTACGTGTCTAATCTCAAGGGTTGCAGTTAATTACATTTCACACACTCCCAAGGTTGCCTAAAATAGGTCTCTCTGTGGCTATATCTCTGGGAGTCGTTCCGTTGAAGCTCGAACGAATTGTCTAATACGGCCTCGCTAGAACACATCTTAATTGTTTTCCCTATACTAATTAAATTAAAAATTTTTTGCGGCACCTGATATGGTATAAAGCGGTTGGTCTATAGCCCCAGTCATTCATTTGTTTCAGTGGAGCCTTAATATGAAATTTGTTGCTTTGCTTTCGTTGGTCTTGGGAGCTATTAATGTCGCAGGTAATTCATTTTGTTTTTACTCATTGGCAAAAGTGAATTGCATTTTATCCAATGTCTGCCCACCTTTCCGTTCGCTATTGAAACTTTTCTTAGGTAGGCGCGTGTATATTAAGCTCAGGTCGAGCACTCTTTCAAAAATCGAACACTATTCCCGATTAAAACCCGTATTGCAATGATGTCTCCATTTGTATTTTATAGAGTTTCGAATTTGTTATACTTTGGATACTGATCCCAGATACTCCATTGCTCTGAAATTGTGATTAGGCGAATAAAAATAAGCAAAGAATTATTGAAATATCAGTTTCCCTAAGAGTGCAGGCGATCTCGTAGCTGAGCACTTATATTTCTCTTTTTTTTTTTTACAATAATACTTTAATTTTTCTGCATTTATAAATAACTCTACTAAAGATTTCTTACTTGAATTTCAGATATTTGCTTTCCTAACGGTTGCCCTCCTCTTCCGAAATGAGAGCACCTCCAATATATTTATTTACTATGGATGTTCTAAAAATGATAAAAATAAATTTTAACTGATGATGACTCTTCTATTTTTATACTCATTCACGAAGTGAATTAGTATACTGGTTTTGTGCAATGTCCGTCCGTCTGTCCGTATGAACGCAGTTCATTTCGCCGCTATTGAAGCTAGAGACTGAAATTTGGAACACATACTCGTGTATAACTCCGATTTATAAAGTGTTAAAATGATTTAGCTGCATTTTACTAGATGATGGCGTTTAGTTTTTAGACTAAATGAAAATGAAAAATGAAATGCATTTTACTAGATGATGGCGTTTAGTTTTTAGACTAAATGAAAATGAAAATGCTCGAGCCCGAGATCCTACACAGTTCTTGAGGCATCAAGTATTCCATGAATTTACATTCTAGTTATTTTAAGGGACTAGGCTCTGAGACTTCCTCAAAATAGTCATTAGTTCTCTTTCGTTTGATCACAACACTTCGACTAGCTTCTAAATTCAACAAAATCAAAAATAAAATAAAATTTTATTTGTGAAAATTTAGAAAATAAAATTTTATTTTTCTTTTCGTGAACATCTATAAAACCAAGTTTCAGAAAAATGTGTGGCCCATGCGGAGGTTGTGGTCCTTGCGGAGGTTGCGGTCCATGCGGCCCCTGTAATCATTGGCCATGCTGCGGCCCTCACAGCCCGCCGTGCGGGGCACCTTCGCCAATCCCATGCTCGCCTGCGCCAGGCGTTTGCTGTCCGCCGTTGCCCGAAGGTGGTATTCCCGACCCACGTGTCTGGAATTGTTGGAATACACCACCTACCTATCCATGTAAGTTGGTCCTCTTTCGGTAATCGTTCACCCTGTGTCTGATGTGCTTCATGCAAAGCTCGCTGCTACATCACTCTGCAAAATTAAAACCTACTTTCCCTGTGTCCTTCAGGTGGATTTTGATAAATCGACTTCGGGGCCGAGCGTGGTGAGGGAAACGTTGGAACAGTGTGGGTGCTGTTTATCTATATTTAAACAGGAAAAATGGGCGAGATAGCTGTATTTGTGAAACTCTTGGTTTTAAAAACATTGGAAGCAAGTTGAGTATGGAATAGAAAGTATACTTATCAACAGATCCAACAAGACTGAACTATTCAAAGAGGACTGAGTTTGTACATGTGCGCCTCGAACAGAATTTCATTACCACAAAATGTATGGTACACACTATGTCAGACTTCTATACATCGTGGCTCGAGACTCGGTGAGGTTACAAAGAAGAAATGGCAGAAATTTGACGAAAGCAATCACAGCAAACAAAGCTCTTCATTGAATTTTAAATTGTGAAATTATAAATTTGAAGTATTCATAATTAGATTTTCGGAACTTTGGCAAATTATATTTTGGACCCTTGAAAATGTGTTTTTTAATATGAAGGTGCTGGGGTTTAGAACCGACCTTCCTGTTGATATTCGTTTAATCTAATAATTCATTTAAAAACGAAATACGGTTGAAATTTGAAAGGCTGAAATGTTTGGTTATCGATAGCTTGACAATCAACCGCACGAAATATTTTGAGTATTTTGCCTGCCAGTTCAGTATTTTCGTTTTATTTTGATTCTAACATCTGGTCGCACTCGAAAACATCATTAATGTCGAGTGACTAATGATTAATGACTAATGGTGTAATCAATTAATGCATTACCATGGAAAAAATTTTTTTTCAGCTTATGAAACTTTAGGTGGAGACTGATAATAAATGATGTATACATTAGCAGTAAAAAAAACAGTTCACAAACAACAATCTTTATTTCTATTAAATGGGGACAAAACCTCAATAATTCTAACCGAATAGTTACATATTTAAGGGATACGACAATTATATATATGTATACATATATATATATGTTTACATATACATATATAACATAGTTCTTTTAAGAATATAAAGTGGATAGTTGCTTATAACTGATTTTTAATTCTGTACAATAATGGTATGCCTCATTAAAACTAAAAATAATATTTGCAGAAGTATTTAACCTATATGAAGTGTGTTGCTACATTAAAAACTATTTGCCGGTCGTGCTCCTTGAAGCTTGTCCCTTGTAACTTGTTCTGTTTCCAAATCTAAAATGACATTAGTCAAAATCTTTTTCGCCTGTATCTGAAGATCCCGATCCAAGCGCCTAATGCTTTGCACAATGAAATTGCCATAATGAAACAATTCATTGGGTTCCGAACTGCTTTGCTCTGTGTTAGATGCAATGCTATTGACGTTGGTTATCGCCAGTCCACTTTCATTTAGGGCTCGTCTCTTCTTGGGGACTGGCGATGGTTCCGAGTCACTAGCAGGAAATGTCGTATCCGGAGAACTCTTTAAAGCCGTATTCACTAATGCCGATGGTTCAAATTCCTCCTCTTCCTTCTCTATGACAACTTGCGGGCTTTGAATGTCGTGTGCATTGAAGGAGTCCTCTGTATGAAAGCTGCTCTCATCCGCCATCTCCAATTTCTACAAAAAGCAAACCCAGATTTCGATTTAAAGTTCATAGTGTATATAAGCTGTCGCTCACTTACACCAATGTTGCCCTTCACAGAGTTGTTCAGAGATCGCTTGGAATTGGGCCATTGCAATATGAATTCCATTTTGGATTTGTTTTTCCAATCAAGTAATGAGCTCTTCTGATGCATATACTTGTAGTACGATTTCAGGTTGTTCCATTTTCTGCACACGTCAGCTGCAAGAAAGAAAATACAATTAATTAAACTTAATTTCATTACAATTATGTCAATATACTTGCTTTGCACAACATGAACAGCTGGGCTGAATTTAATGTTTATGTCGTCTGTCAACTTTTGCCAGAAATCGTTTTTCAGGTGCCTCAATTTGTAGAGTGGATTCGCTGGATTCCACAGATACTCAGCAGCTCGGACACTATCAATAATAAAATCTGTCATTTCATCGGTAAACAACGACTCCATTTTTGATCCGATTTCTTCGCTAATTATTCTCTGTTCCGTTTGTTGTACACAAAATTGGTTGGTGTTCAGCGTCTCCATAATTACAATAAGCAAAAAGAAGAACGCGAAGGCCAGCTGTAATTGCTTTGGTATTTATTGCGTTGGCTGGCATGGTCACACTTGGGCAGATTTGAACAATTCTCCATATTTTTGTATTAGAAAAAAATATATTATGATTATTTAAGCCAATTAATATAACTTATATATTGAGTAAAATAAATTAAATATAATAAATGTATTTTAATGACCATCCAATACAAATTGAAGTATTTTTGCATTAAATGTTCTTATCCTATAATTATGTTACTTAACTGTGTTTATACATAGTAATAGACATTAAACATTTAATGTTTTCCACTCTCGCTGTATTTGTTCTTATCTTGCAGCTATTTGCCCTTTGAAATTATTATTTTAATTACAAAAGAGAGGAATGATTTTTTCTAGGGTCTGTTGCTCATATTTTAGTATTTATAGCGTACTCACGCATGGTCACACGTTAGGTAATGATATGAATAATGCGGTTGGCCTTAACCGCATTTTATGGAGGACATACATACATATTTATTTACATACTTTTATATCTATTAAAAGTGATCTATATATGTTTACAATAATAAATATGTAACTATTTTGTTTTTGTTTGTTTTTTTTTTTTTATTATTATTAATTATATTTTAATTTCAATTTTAATATATTTCACTCAGATTTTTGTGATAAACGATACAATACTTCACCTATATCAAATAAACATAAAAAATTATAAAACCAAAACAAAGTATGCCATCAAAAAATGTAGGTACATATATAGTAGGCCTTAAGGTCTACCTCCAGGTGAGATCTCAGATTTATGGCATAAGGCTAGAGGGCCTTCTCACCAACAGTTCTCCGTATTTCGAACCTTTCTTTCGGCCAACATCAAAATTTTTTAAAATTCAAAATTTTGGTTTTCCCTTTTAGATTAAGCTAAGTAAGTGAAAAAATTCGTATAATATGTAAAATCATATAAACTAATTTCCTTATATTTGAAAAAAAAAAAAAATTAAATAAATAAAATTCTTTTATTATGTAGAAAATATAAATTTAGAATGTGTAGTCCTTGCTGCGGACCTTTTGAGGTAAGCCATACTCTGATATAGTTGGGATGACCCCAATAGCCCGACTCTCTCCCTCCACTCTGTAGCCCAGGGGCTGTCGCAGTCGTGAGCTACGCTGCAGCATCTTATACACATCGTGTGATTGCGTGAAGCGAAATGGCCTGCAGGACAAGTGTCCGAGAGCTGCGTGTCAAGGGCGTCCACCCTGCATGTGCTTCCCATTCCCCACATGTGGTCCGGCGTCGTTCCCATTACGGTTCGCCAACATGACAATGGGGGTCAATAATAAGCGCATGAGATGTGCAGCCACAGCGGCAACTTGCGCAGGAGGCGGTGGACTGCCGCGTGCATGTGGCGGATGTTCAGGTCAGTTGCCCCCCCACATAGATATTTTCCAAGACTCCGTACTTATCACTTAATGCTCCCATCTCCAGGCTGTTAACCTCAGCGCGATTCCCAACCTGGATTTTCGATGCAGCCAGCTCCTGCTGTGCACTGTTTAAAGCTCACTGATATATCACACAAATGGAAGGTCCGCACATTTGGTGCACTCTATGGTTTTTTCCGTCTGCCCCGAGTCTTATTTTTTTTTTTTTTTTTTTAATGCATTTGAAATAGTTCGGCTTAGTTGAATATTTTTTCCGCTCACTGTACGCATGGTCTACACCCAAGTAAGTATTCCCCGCCCCGATAGTTGACAACTGCCTTAATTATAATTATTAACATTGCTTTAGATTTGCGCAACCAAAATTACTTGTGAAAAAGCTACGATTAATATGATGTTAATTGTATAACAAATTCTAATGGTCAAAGAGATTCCACAATAAAGAAAGATTCGAAAAAAAAGTAACAATTCGATTTCAAAATTCCATATCTATTGCTCAAACGCCGTTATTGGATATATTTCTGACTCTAAATTTAATACTCTAATGCTCCAATTTTATTATATAACAATTCCATGGCAAAAACTAAATTAACCGGAGACTTTCGTCATTACGGTGAATAAAGATCCCTCAAATATTTTATAAATGAAAACTAAACAAAATATAAATTTTCTATTTTCTTTTACGTTTGGGGGTGTGGCTGTAATCTTACAACATTCAAAATACTAGCCAGAAAAATATACGGAATATACTAAAATTGCCAATATCTCAGAATCAGTATTAAATTTATGAGATGTTTTCCTATTAATGAAATACATATGGATATATTTTATATAATATGCCATCCATATGGACATATTTTATATAAATTGACTTTAATAATTAAACAAAATATCTTACAATATTTAACAACATAATTGTGCACATAGTTTGTAGCACTGTTTCGTTTAGTTTGTCGAAAAGTGCTGCCCATCAAAATTTCAATTGTCTAAAAGTGCGCGCAAGTACGATTAAATTCAAATTCAAATCAGTTATTTTTTTTCCCGATAAAGTAAAATTAAATACGAATGTTACTATTTATTTGATAGCAGCAGTTATCATTGAAATGTCAACAATTTATTTTGATGCAGTATTGGCATTAACTTAAATAGCGTTTATATATTTTTTAGAATTAATTATATACAACAATTAAATACTAGTTCGCGTTTTTTTTCTGCGTTCGTCTTTTTCTTCTGTTCGTTTTTATAGCTAATGGATGGAATGCTTTAAGTTTTCTACATAAAACAACGTGGGGCGCTCGTCGGCCAACATAATCTCGTCTTTAAAATTAATTTTGATGTAAACTTAAAAATATGTTGTGAATGTGTAGGGGAGGGGCGTGGCAGCGACTGCGACTGCAGTCCGGTCATTACATGGCCGTCTCCAGGGGCTGGCTGTGACTGCGTCCGTTGGTGTGCAGAGGCGCCAGGCCGCCGTCGCCGGCTTCATCGAAGTCCGTCTCGAGCAGTGCCTCCGACTTGGAGCGATGATAGGGATTGGCAGTGGCCAGCGGCGTGGGCGATGTGGGCGACGTGGGCGACGGCTCCTGCGAGGCCGTCTGATAAACAGTCTTTGGGCGTGTCGCCTGCACTATGGGTACCGCCGGCGGCTTGGTCAGTGGCTTGGCCAGCGGTGCGGGCGTTCGATAGTGGGACGTGGGCGCCTTGCTGCTTCGCACGGCCGTATAGTAGGAGTCCGGACGCCTCATGTCAGCGGGCGACGGCTGCTGCTGCGGCACGGCCGGCGCCGGCCGATAGAGCGACGACTCCGTGGAGAAGTTGAACTGGTCCAGCTTCTGGTCAAATGGCAGCGAGTCGCCGCTGCTGCGCTGCGGCATGAAGCTGCTGTGCGAGCTGCGCTGATACTCCGGCAGGTTCTGCTTCAGCTCGCTGAGGAAGGCGAGGCCTGGCTGGCCACGCCTACCGCCCACGCTGCTGCTGCCGCCGGTGTCCGTGCGCAAGGGCAACGTGCTGGCATTGCCATAGTAATCAGAGCCCACCTCCTCGGCGTCTGTCTGATGAATGATGGGCGTGTCCTCCGCTACGCTGGTGCTGATGGAATTGGCGCGGGTGCCGCCGCCATAGGTCGAGTTGTCGCGGAAGCCCTCGTTGCGGTAGCTCAGCTCGAAGGCATCCGGCTGCAAAGCGGCCGCAGCCGCCGCCGCCCGCGCCCTGTGCGAGCTGCCCTTCGATATGGTGGCCACCTTGTGCGGCTGCTCCTGGCCAGCTGAGCCAGTCCGCAGCGCGTTCTGGTTAACGTACTCGTTGTAGTGCGGCTTCTGCTCGTAGCCCTCGTAGCTGCCCGCCTCTGAGCTGAGCACGCTCTTGTCCATGGAGTCGATGGAGCCATTGGCCACCATCTGCTTGTAGTCCTGGCTCTTGGACAGCGTGCCATTGCTGGACATGTTCTGTGGAGCGCGAAAAAGCAAAGCGAACCGAGGAGCAAAAAGGAAAAAAGAAAAGAAAATAAAATTCAAATAAAGATCGAACTGAAAGGAATTAAAAAGACTAGCGAAATCATACATAATTGGGACGACGACGCAGCGAGCCCTGCGGATCGATGCTGTTCAGGCTGCGCAGGCTCTGGCGGATGCTGTTGCGTCGCTGCAGGCGTTGCACGTGTCGGTGCTTGGACTTGGCGAACCAGCAGAAGGCCACCAGAATGAGCAGAATGATGGCCAGCACAAAGGCCGAGATAATACTTATGGCAAAAATGTCCGCGCGCCACGACAAGGGATCAATGATGACCTAAGAAGGGAAAGGCATGTATAATTATATAGATATTACAATTGTAGCTTCGTTCATTTACCCTCGGATCCATTTCGCAGATGAAGCCGCGCTCCTTGCTGCAGTCCTCCACTTCGATCTCGCCGAAGACGAAGCTCGTGCAGCGCTCGATGTGATTGTAGTCCTGTATCCAGACCTTCTCCGGGTACTTGAGATGCCGCATCTGGCTCTGTAAGTACCGCCATAACGTGATCTTGTCGGTGCGCAGGAAGGGCATCGTTGAGTTCTCCGAGCGGCAGAAGTCGCGCGCCTCATGGAACGTCATCGGCGCCCCAACATAGATGAAGCAGGTGTCGTGCACCAAGGCCCAGCCCGGCGGGCACTTGCCATCCAAGATAGTCTCGTTGTTCATTTGGAAGGGCACGGCCAGCACCTCCAGCAGCATGGGATCATCTAAAATGCGAAAATTTTAACTCTGTCGACTAGCTTGTGCTCAATGTGAGTTATTACCGTATTTATCCCTAATGCGCGACTGCACCGAGATGGTGTTGTTGTAGCTCCAGTAATTGTGGCGTGCATCAATCTTGGAGCTCCATGTCTCAAAGGTCCTTAAATGAGAAATGAGTTAAGTCTAGGACTCTAATGGGGGCCCTGAGTGTGTTGCTTACCTGTTTTCGTAATCAAAGCTCATACTACGTGTGTGGAAGTGAAGAGGAAGACAGAGAGAGAGAAGGTAGCATAAGAGATAGAAATTTCATATAAATAGGGATACAGCTACACTAATTTATATCTTGGCAAAAACTGTTTATAAATTTAGATGAGAGTATTTTCTTTCGCAATCCCTAGTGGTAGGTACTAGTCCTAGTTCATAATCTTACATCAGCTATTGTGTAGGTCTTTCAATAAACATTTATTCGGAACTCTAGTGTGTTTTAATAACTAATCTACAATAATAATCAGGTCTAATAGATCCTTCTATGTTCATGCAGTTGATGGTTAGACATAGCTCATCGAATGGATATCCATTTGACCCTTTTCAAATTTCAGCTAATCCCTTCAATTTGATCTACTTGATACTTACATCGAGTTATTGACAGTCAGCAGCTCGTAATCATTCTCATAGTTCTCGAATATGTTGTCCACATACTGCTGGCCCGCAGTGCCGGCCACAATGGTAGCGCGAGACATCCAGTTGGTGGCCACATTCCTAGGCAGAAGTCAGAATTTAATGATCCTTTCAATTAAAGCCAAACTTATTAGCTTACCTGTAGAAGCCATTGTGGGCCGTCGTCTGATAGATTTGCAGTCGCACTTTTTCGAAGCCGGACACCTCCATGATGCGACCACCCACATTGCTGTGGACGTAGTTGTAGCTGAAGTTGGAGACGACCTGGCAGAGTCGAATGACCTCCTCGTAGCCAGCCATGTTCTGGGCGAAGTAGTTGCGATAGAGCTCGACCTCCTGGTAGGGCGACGACTGGCGACCTTCCACATACAAGGCAGGGCGATTGCGATTCCGCATGAAGAGATTGTGGTGCACAAAGCCACGCAACGAGGTGGCGGTGCCGCGCGAGTCAGCACGGATGCGCAGACCGCCTTGATTCTCCAACAGCAAATTGTTCTAAGGGAAGTTTTAGTAGGTAAGTCAACGAATAACAACGAATTTTTGGGGGCAGCTTACCATAAAGTAGAGCGAGTTCATGTTCTGCACGTCCAGATTGAGCGCTGAGGCGCAGGTGGAGAAATTACCATAGAGCTGCTTGCAGTTCCTCTCAATGCGATTGCCTATCAGAGTGAGAGTTGGGGTCACTTCACCGGCTGAGGCATAGGTGACGGCTCCCTTCATGGCACCCGAAATGTGAGAGTCTGTTATGTTGTGCAGGGCATCTCGATCTGAGAGAGAGAAAGAGAGATTAGAGATGATAGAGAAGCAAGTCAGGTGGACTTACATTGCCCCAGCGTGGAGATGGGCACCGTAACAATCTCGGCCAGGAAGCCATGGGTCTCTGGAGCGCCACTGGCCACCAGCTGAAGACTTAGAGTGGGGCCCTTTGTCTTGAAGAAGGAGCGCTGATTGTCCGTATCCGATTCGATCTTGCCCAGATACGTAGCCGTAACATTATAGATATCCCCATCGTACAGCTTAATGAAGTCGGTGCGCCCGTAGAGCTTGGAGTGATTGAACAGATTCGATTGCAGCAGCCGGAAGCCAATGGGCTTGGCCCGAAAGGCGGAGGTAAAGATCTTGACACAATTGACGGGATTATTGTCGTACTTATAGTAGACCAGCATGCGCTCCTCGATGGTCAGCACCTTCTGGGGATCACAGATGTCCACCAGCGAGAAGAGCTTGTAGGGCAGGTCGAGTTTCTTGAGCGGCGTGAAGCTGGACTCATCGCTGTCGCGACCCTCGCCGCTGAGCGAGACAATGCTGATGCCCGTGCCGAGCGTCTTGTTGATGTTCAGATGATTCAGGTTGAGCTTGCCGCTGGGCGCTATCAGATTGATGCCATGGTTTGCCGAGCTCTCAATGCTGACCGAGGTGATGCTGGGATTCTTGTGGATGGCCTGAATGGCAGCCGCCTTGTGATTGTGCAGAATGCCCGCGTGCTCGATGCGCACAAACTCCAGCTGGCTCTCGCGCTGCAGCGGCTGGCCGTGCGAGCGGGTGTTGTGCAGACGGTGCTCGTATTGGATCTCCTCGAACTTGGAGTTGGCGAACCGAATGCCGCCCCAGTAGACATCGTCGTCGGCCAGGCCGTTGCAGCTAACGAAGACGAACACATCGTCCCAGCGGCACTCGTGCCGATGGCCGTAGAGCTGGCCATTGAGCCGCTCGGCACAGTCCTCCATGCGCTCCTCATCGCCACGGCACTCCAGCGGCTGCACCCAGGACCAGATGCGAGTCAGCGAATTGGTGTGGAACTCAATGCGCCTGTCGTGGCCGTAGTAAACGTTGAGCGGATCAAAGCCCAGCTCACGGCAAACGACCTGGGCATTGCGCTCGGTGAACCGACTATCGCATATGGGCACCCACTGCAGTGTCGTGTGATTGAAGTACTCCAGGAAGCCCTCGTTCAGCTCGGACAGCCCGTCCGCCTCCCCCGTGCAGTTGCTGGCGCTGGTGCAGAGCCGTATAGAGTCGAAGTCGGTGAGGGCAGCGCTCATGTCCTCCAGGGCTCGCTTGCGCGGTGGCGCCGCCACCAGAGACTCCTTGGTGGAGTTCCTGAACGGACGCATCACAATCGGCGACTCCTTGTAGCCAATGGCTATGAGCGTGCCCAGCACGAGTATGCCCACGTTCGGCTCAAACTCCAGCGTCACTCCGTGCTGTATGGTCAGAGTGGTATCCGGCATCACGGTAATATCCGAGGCTATGTAGTAGGGCAAGTTCTTCTTGGGCAGCGTGAGGTCGCGGTAGACGCGACCGCCTTGGTACCTGGCCAGGTTCGACTCCTCGTTGAGCGGCGCCACTATCGACACACTCGCGTCGTAGCTGTCCTCAATGAGGAACGGCTGATAGATGACATCGGCGTGATCGTTCCAGTTGTCAAAATCAAAGATTTTCGACTCAATGTACGCCACATCCTGGCTGCCCCACCAGTTCTCCTGGGCATGGAAGTAGTTATTGAGGCGGGCCGATCTCACTCCCGCCACCAGATTGTAGTCCATCTCATTGTTGGCTATCAGATTCCGGTAGAGCCTTATGTTCTGCACGCCGTCCAGTCGGATGACCGCGCTGGGCAGCTGGTGCTGCTTGCGTATGCGTCGAGCGGCTCTCATGTAGTGCCGGTAGTCCGCGATCAAGGTCATGATCTGATTGCCCTTGAACGTGTTGTACTCAATGGTGGCTGGCACCTGGCCAATGATCTCGCTCAGGCTGTCCGCCTTGAAGAGCAGCACGAACTTGTTGAAGTTACCCTCGAAGCGATTGTTATCGAAGCGCAGTCGCTTCTCCATGCCGTCCAGCGAGATGAGTGCGCCCGGGCAGCTGTTCTCCCGGAACACATTGGAGGTTATGTTGAAGACCGCATAGTGTCCATAGATGCCAATGTGGAAGTTGCGGTTGCGCTGCCAAGTGCTGTTCCCAAAGTAAATCGAGTGTGTGAAGTTCTCGTTGTACTGCCAGACATAGGGCAGGGCCACCTGGAAGCCCCCATGGGCATTCTGCTCCACTGTGCTGTCCTGCACCACATAGTGGAAGAGGTTGTTGGAGGAGCGCAGATCCTTGGACAGCTGCCTGATGCCGTACCCGTTCTGAGTGATCAGCGAGCTGTTGATGTGCAGCGTGATCTCCGAGAGGTTGCTAGAGATGACGTCCCAGTAGGGCGACTTGATCAGTATGGCCTCACGCTCATTGAAGCTCAGCTCCGAGTTGATCAGCTTGATCGACTCGTTGGCCTTGCGCAGATAATACTCTCCATTGTCGCCTATATAGCGATTGTAGTAGTAGCCCGTAATGCCGCGCAGATTCTTCTGTATCTTGGTCGAGCGTATGGTCAGTGTGGGCACTGGTCCGCTCACGATCCGGTTCCGGATGTTCTGCACGGGCGCCGTCACAGTGGACAGCATGAGCACCGCTCCGCCCAGGGCATGCGGGCCGCTCTCATAGTAGATGATGATGCCGTAGCTGCTGCTGGTGACCGGGAAGACGTTGAGGTCGCGCTTCACCTGCCACAGATCGCTCCGGATGTTCTCCGTGCGGGCATTCAGGATGCTTATGCTCTCCGTGGACAGATTGTGTATGGGATTGAGCAGCTGTATGCCGATGACATAGCCGGCGGGGCACTGCACCACGATCTTGCGACTGATCGACTGGCCGAGCAGCTCCTCGGTGCGGATGTACTTGTGCTCGAAGGTGCCCAGATCGATGTTCGCTATCTCGTGCGGCAGCAGATAGGGATCGTAGTCGGTGTCGTAGGCATTGAAATCCTGGGCCATGTTGAACCAGCCGCCAATCTCCTTCTGATCCAGCGCTGCGATGACTGCATCATGCGAGATTCCGCTGCCCAGATTATCCTTGATGATCGAGCCGGAGATGCGAAAGTCGAGCTGCTTCAGACTGATGCCGCTGCCGCGATTGCCAGAGAACTCCGAGTTCTTGATGTTGTTCACCGACTTGCCGGCATAGATGTCCGCATAGATGATGCCCAGTCCGTCCTGCAAATTGTTCACGACGCGCACGTTCTCCAGGTTGTGGCGTGCATGGTCCATTTGCACCGCCGGCTTGAACGAGTTGGTGGTGTAGTCGAACAGACCCGCCTTCTCCACGGTCACGTACTGCAGATCCGCCCGCTCGGCCAGCATGCTGAACCGGACGCCTGCCCAGGCGCCCTCGTAGCAGCGCAGGCCCACATCGCTGTCGTGGCTGCAGCTGTTCTCGAACTCGTGCTCCGCCCGGCACTTGGTCACGTCGCGGTCGTGCGGGGTGCAGCGCACGTTGGCGAGCAGCACATCCTCGGAGGTGCCCGCATTGGGCAGCTGGGAGCGCAGCAGGCGCCAGTCCTGCGGATTGAGCGAGTAGCCCAGCTGGTGGCAGACGAGCGCCGCATTCAGCACATTCCAGCCGTAGTCGCAGACGGTGCCCCAGCGGCCCTTGACGTACACCTGCAGCCGGCCCTCGCGGGCACTGACACCGCCCACCAGACGCACCGGCACCCGCGGCACCCCATCCACGGGCAGCACCTCCGTCTCCATGTCGATGGCCTCTGTTTCGCTGTCCAGGTCAATGGTCTCCGTGTCGTTGCCCATGATGGTCTCCCGCTTCAGTGTGAAGAGGATGTCGTCGGGTCGACGGCCACGCGCCTCCAGCTTGCCCGCCACCATCATGCCCACGCTCGGCTCGAAGCGCAGCGTCGTGCCCGGCTGGAGGATGAGCTTGCCGCCGGGACGTATATTGATGTCCTTGGTCACTGTGTAAGTGCCCGCTGGCACCATGTCCTGGCCATCCACCTCGCCGCCAATCACATCGCTGCCCTCGTGGAAGAAGCGGGGCACGACCGTGGAGACGGTGATCATGGCCGTGGAGCCCGGATTGGAGCTGTGCAGCAAATAGGGTATGTAGTTGATCTTGGCCAGATTGTAGCGATCGTTGCGATGGAAGAGCCTGGCGTAGATGCGACTCTCGTCCGTGTGGCCCAGCCAATTGCAGGTGGCATTGATGATCTGGCTCTGGTCCGTCAGCTGCGAGCCAATCTCGTAGGCCGAGTCCAGGTTGTGCAATATATTCCGGAATATGTCCACATTGCTTGAGCCGACGACCACCGGTGCGGCGACTCGGGATCTCGGATTCAGTCGACCGGCCCCATCGCTGCCCTCGCTGCCCGCCACAAGCGGACCGAAGGCCTCCGTGATGTTGTTGCTCCGCACAAAGTTCCGTGTGAAGAGAATGTACTGCACCTCCGCCCGACTGTAGGGCGACAGGGCCAGGGAGACGACGTGCAGTCCGCTGTTTCGCATAAAGTAATTGCTCTGGATGAGCAGCTTGACGGGCAGATAGTTAAACTCCGGGTAGATGTAGTCGTTGTTCACATAGATGCAGCCATACGACCCGTACCGGAACATGTTGTACTCGATGCGCCCCTGGAGATTGAGGGCTGGACTCAGGTAAATGGAGTTCGCTTGGCTGTACTTGAACATGTTGTGGCCCAGCTGGAGCTGCATGTTCGGCTGCCCGTTGGCCGTGGCCTGGTAGCACGACTCGATGAAGATGTCGTTCTGCTGGCTGCCATTGAAGCTGTTGCCCGTGATGTTCACCCAGATGGGCCGGCAGTAGTTGCCATGGAACACGCCCGTCTCCAGGTTGCCCGCGATCTGCGAGTACTCCACGGCACTGGTCTGATTGAACGGTATATACTCGATCCGGTCCACATCCGTGGTGTGGTTCAGCCAGACGGCCAGCCCATAGCCGCGATTCGCGCTGATGGCCGACCGTGAGATGTTCCGGTTGCCGCCGTAGTAGGTGATGTTCACGCCAGCGCCATTGTTGAAGCTGATGTTGCTGCTGGTTATGTTGACGTCGCCCGCTCCGCTGGTCACGTGGACGCCGGCAACATGGCCGTTGCCCGAGACGGAGCTGGCGTGCACGTGCAGCTTGGACCGGATGTTGTCAATGGCCACGCCCCGTCCGCCATTGTCCTCCACCGTGGACTGGGAGACGCGCAGATCATAGGCCACCGAATCGCCCGACGTGATGCGGAAATATCCGTTCAACTCCCGCCGAGCGTCCGCTCTGATGCGCACGAACATCTTCTCCCGGGTGCTGGTCACGCTCTGAGGCCGCGTAAAGTTCCGCGCCTGCCACGCGAACAGCAGCCGGTCGTTGCTGGAGGCGCCGTCGAAGATCTCCACGGTCGCCGTCTCGTTCTGCTGCAGCACAAAGTGCTCGAAGTGCAGCGTGAGGTAGTAGCCGGGCCGCGTGAAGAAGTACTTGCCGCACTCCTTGGCCGAGCCGGCGTAGTACTTCTGGGTGAAGGACAGCGAGATGGGATAGGTCTGGCCCGAGGTGGTGGGCAGCGTGCAGAAATCGTAAATGCTGGCCCGGTCCGTGCGCTCAGTGCCCCGCAGATCGTGGCCCACGTACTTGATGCCATCGGCCGCATTGTCCATCACCGAGCAGCCCTCCAGCTGCACCAGGCCCTGGCTGGAGTTGACGAAGATGCCGATGCCGTTGCTCTTTCGCACCGTCACGTTCTGCAGCTGAAATCCTGCCCAGGGCCGTGTGCTATTGAAGCCCGTGTACGCCGAGTGGCTGATCACCACGTGCTCCATCTGTGGCGGCAATCCCTGCACCTCCAGCGCCGACTTGGCACTGAAGCCAGCTCCATTGCCCGCCCTGATGATGTCCACGTACTTGAGGCGTGACTCCGACTGCGCTGCATAGACGGTGTTGTCTCTGCCCAGTGACTTGGTCGACGGCGCATTGTCAAAGTACAGGCCGCGCCAGTGACCCAGCGGCTCCGCGTGCACCGGCAGGCACTGAATGCCCAAGTCATTGTGGTAGTCGCAGGAGCCAGCGCCCATTTGCCTCGAGCTCCACGCGCAGTCCATCAGACTGTTCTCCCCGCCTCGGCATTTCGGCTGCTCGTAGAGCAAACGTGGATAATATCCAGGAGTGCGCTCCACCCAGTTCCAGAAGCGACCTCCTCTGTAGCCCAGCTGCTTGCAGGCAACCGAATAGTCCGCCACGGTCCAACTGGAAGTGTTAGAAAATGTGATTAGTACTGTGTAAGAAAATGAGCAGTTAAAGAATCTAAATGCTTTTCTTAAGGCAGGAAAGAATAGATTTCCTAGATATATTTTACTATCCCATTAAACAGTTTTTAATCAACTTTTACTTAATGAGCTTGTTTTATATTTCGCTGGCACCTCCCAAGCAGCGACCCACAATCTATTAAACCTGTTTACTTACTTTCTGGAATTGGAGCAAACAGAGCGCCAGGCGCCCTTATGGAATAGCTGGAGTCGTCCCTCCACAGGCGTGGGCCCATCCACCAAACGTATGCCCTTCTCCTGATCGTCTGGCAGTTCCATTTTATAGTTGGCAACATTACTCTGGGATTTTAGCACAATGCGCGCTGAGGGAGTGCCCTGTAAAGGAAAGAGAATTTTAATATCAATATATATCTAGTAATGGAAATTTTAATGTTTTATAATATATTAGATTACTGAAGAATTTGTAAATATAGTTTAATATATAATATAAAATACTTTACTGAAAACCTTAAGTGCCTGAATATAAATTGTATAATTTATTGCAATTTAATCATTTAATACCCACGTATAATTGATAAGAACAAAGAAACTTATGGAACTTGAATTTTATAAAATAAAAAAATTAGTTTAGAAATGTAAATAAAGTAAAATTCAAGTAGTTTAACTCTTTAAAAATACACTAAAAATAATAACTACATCATGTTTGATTAATTATCAACTACAATGTAAAGCTTTTACCAGAGTATTTCTAGCACTCTCTTTCTAAGTAATCTCTTTCAATTGCAGAAGTCGACGTGAATAACTATAATTAGAATTCCAGAATGTGTGAAATGCAAATCTGTTGTGAAAAGTGTGCAATGAAAATGGAGATGGAAGTGAAAATGGCAAGATAGAGACACAGAGAGAGTGAGGGAGATAAAGAGAGAGAGAGAGAGAGAGAGAGATGTGTCTACATTTCTTGCCCCATTTTGCTTTGCCTGCAATTTTCATATAATTATTGTTGGGTGTGAAGTTTTTCGAATTATCTCTGGCTCGTTTCAGTGCAGCTTTTGGCCTTTCACATCAAAATTTTGTTGTGGCTTTTGCTTTTGTTTTTCTCTTTTTCAATTATGACTATTTTCTCGCCCGTTGACCTTCGCTTGCCACAGTAAAACATCGTGGATATATATATATATACATGTATATATATCCAAGTTTTCTAGAGTTAATTAACACCTATGCGCTGAGCATGATATTGTTGATGATTGAGATGACGGTAACGATCATCATCGTCATGATGCTGCTGATGATAATGCTGATGCTGTTGCCTAGAGCAACGCCCACCGAGGCAATTGAGAAATCAGCAAACAATTTTATTTAATTAAAGCCAGACAAAACCGAAACTCTGCTAGGTCAAAAGATGAACCAGATGATTCAGAACTAATTTGCATACAGCAATAATGAAAGCAATAAGAAATGAAAAAAATTATTAATAACAAGCCGAAGTTTAAATTACCTTAAATCTAAAGTGACTAGAAGAAAACTTTATAGAAATTTTAATGACTGGAAGCGACTTGAATAATAAAGTAATTATAATAATAAAGTAATAATAAAAA